TGTAGATGAAAATTATATTGTTATGTAAATGTCATGCTAATTAAGAGAGAATATTGAAGGTGTAATACATTTGCAAAAGAAATAGGTAAGTTAATGATTTTTTACATTTTTATTAATCTTTTATAGACAGTTATGAGAGAAACTGGTCGAGAAATGTTTGATTATTGAGCCACAATTTTTAACTGACTGCATCACAATCGCAAGTCTTGCAATATTTGAAGCCCCGGAGTCAAAGGGAGCTTAACTTTTGTTTAAAGAACAAACAGAAAACCCTAGAGGGCACATAAAAATAACTCAAATTCTTTAAAATCTCACGACTTCTAAGATAGCCTCATGGTTTCTTAAATGATTCCTTCGGGCACCTGCTTGCATTTGGGCACCTAACACTAGGATTACCATCCTACTTCCCAGTTTGGGTCTAAATGACTCCATGACCATTGGGTCTCAATGACTCCATTATAAAAGGATGTGTAGAGACTTTTGTTCTGCATTTTTTGATCTGCTATGAACTGACCCTAAGGAGAAGTATTACAGGGGGGGGAAGAAAACCTAATACTTTTCTTGCCTCTCTAATACTTCTCCTTAGGGCCAGTTTATAACAGAGCAAAAAATGCAGAACAAAAGTCTCCAAACATCCTTTTATAATTTCCCATGATGTGGTCCTGAAAATCCCATAACATCTAGTCTATCTGACTAGCACAAACCATGGACTGGTGTCTTCCAAAATAGGTAGACTCTTTAGCCACCCCAGTCCTTCCAGTCAGAGTGCAGCCAAGTTCTTCCCGTAAGCAACCCCCTCTGGGGAGCTGATCTTCACCAGGTGGTGTCCATCAATCTCCGTGCTCTGTTAACATCTCATCTCAGGGAGACCAGCAAGTAGGCTCTTCCACGGCACCCTTGCCTATAGCCTTCTGACCCTGGTTCTCTGGCTTGTGGATGCCAGCTGGCAAATCCCTGGGAAGATCTCCTGGCACCAGCTTTCTGAATCCAGTTATATAGCTTGCAGGTAAACAGGAAATTTCCTCTATTGCTGCCCCATCTTCAGCTCTCTGGCTTGTGGAGGTCAGCCAACACCAGGGGTGGGCAAAAGGGCCTCCGTGGGCCAGATTTGGCCTGCTAAGCGGGTGGATTTGGCCCATAGAGGCCCTGCTGATCCCCCGCCCCCAGGCCAATTAGGGTCTGGGGGTGGGGGAGTGCACAAAGCCTCCTCCTGCTGTGCCAGGAGAACATGATGCTTTGAAGCGCCTTGCCCAGGGCGGGGAGCGGAGCAGAGGAGGCTTCACATGCTCCCTCACCCCCAGGCCCTAATTGGCCTAGGGCAGGGGAGCAAGGGAAGTCTCCTCCCACACCAGGGGCATGGGCACCTTGGGGGAATGTGGGGTGGAAGGCAAAAGCACTCCCTCACCCCCAGGCCAATCATTGTCTGGGGGTGGGGAACCTGGAAATATCTTGGCCACGCCCCTTCCACTCAATGCCCGGCCCATCCTTTGCAGCCTGGGGCCACTTCAAAAATTTCTGAAATTTCCCCAGCAAATATTATTGCCCATCACTGGCCAACACAAACCCCTTTCAGCCTTGCCCCAGGAACCTCCTACAGCTTCCTTCGGGGACCTCCCACCTCTGATTCCCTTTGATCCATTATAGCCTCAGGTACATACTTGACCAAACTGGGGACATCTGTTCTGGCGCAGGGCACTGGACTTGCTTCATTTAACAGAAGAGCAATTAACAGTTTCCAGTCATTTGAGTTACGCTAAGAATTGGGCAACTAGCTGGGTACTAAGATTTTGATACTTAGAGGAATGTGTTAACTTAAGCCAGTTTTTTGTAACAATTAAAGATAGTAATTTAACTTTGTTTTCCCACATAAACTCCACTAATTTTGTCCCAGGAAAGAATACACTGCCTCTATTTCAAATAGCATAAAGATCTTGTTGTTGTTGTTAATACAGTGGATTCAGCATCATGGTTTCCACATAAAATTTCAAATTCAAGCCCACCATCCACAATTATGCATGATGACTTTTAATGCTGAAACAAAAAACAACTGTAGAAGAAAGCACTGCTCAGGGCACACAAACTTCATCTGTTATGAAACACTCTGATGTATTTGCATGCAAATCCCAAGTAATTCGTTGTTGAAACCCTACTACCATGCAGTAAAAAAATCAGATTCATCTGAACCTATCTAATGAGGCAATAAACAAACTTCTGTTACACTTCTGGAAATGCAAAAGAATGAGAAATAGTTGCAATTTCATATTTAATGGTCTAACAAAGTCTAACACAAGCAAAGAAGCTGAAGTCTTAAATGATTTCAAATGACAGTCTTGTTAGATTTATAGTTTTGATTTACCTTGAAATCACTGTATAAGTGACCTCCTAAGCGGGATTAAAAATTGTACTATTGAACTAGTCTTCCACATGTCGGTTTGAGGACTCCTTGAAGGAGCAGGAAACTTAAATGGGAACTGATTCTTCTCTCATTTGAAAAGCTGGGTTCTGAAACCTTGAAATGAGACCTCTGGTCCCAAGTGTTTTTCAGAAGATTGAGTTAAACAGATGTTTAAACTAGGGATGTTAAATTGCGGTTAATTGAGTAGTTGATGGAATTTCCGTCGACTACTCGACTAGTCAATAGGCACTTCCGCATTCCTCCTTTGAAATGTACAAGAGCCCCCACTGGAGCTCTTGTACATTTCAAAGGAGGAATGCAGAACTCCGTGTACAGCCCAGGGCCAGCGAGAACTCCCACTGAGTCCCGGCTGCAGGTGGGTGCTGGCTTTGAAATATACAGGAGTCCCTAGCAGGGGCTCTTGTGCATTTCAAAGCCATGAACCTTGGGGTCAGCGAGAGACTGAGTCCCCCCACTGACTCCAGGCTCCATGCTGCTTTGCATACCATGCGGAGCCCAGGGCTCCCCAGCTGACCCCTGGTTCTGGGGTAATACCGTGCAGAACCTGGGGGCAGCTGGTGAGTACCCAGCTGACCCTGGCCTCTGCTGAAATGCCATGGGATGCCTGGGATCAGCTAGGCTCCACAGCGCTGCCCCTTTGAAAGGCCGAGATGGCGTTTCAAGGGGCAGCAGCCACACAGCTGATCCCTGTCTCAGCTGTGTGGTGCTGCCACTTTGAAGTACTCCTTCTCCCCCTTTGCTGCCTCTCAGCAATTGGGGGGGAGGAATCGACTAGTCAACAGACTATCTGGTAAGCAAATGTTTATCTGATAGTCAGCTAGTCCTTAACATCCCTAGTTTAAACGCAACAGAGTTATAGGTGGTCTAACTAAAAATGTGTTCTACTCTCTCCCCCCCCTTTTTTTCCCCCAGTTGGCCATGTTTCCCTCACCTTTACGTTACAAAAAAAAAAAAACAGATTTGGCAAGCAAGACTTAACATGTGAGAATTTCAGGTGGCCTTTTTGTAAAATGTAAAGACACAAAAAAAGTACTATTTATTTTAATTGTAGGTCTCTCTTACCAGTCCAGATTTGAAATGGTTTGAAAGCACTAATTTTTTCTAGTAACAATGCTAATTTCAGGGCATGCAAATATTGGATGACTAGTAACAATTGAGGACTTCTGTATTCTGTTCACCAGTTTGGACGACAGCTGTGTGAATAGCAGTGCACACAAAAATGCTGCACTGTAACTCCCATGTGGATGCTGCAGGAGCAATTGAAAGGTTTTCTTTGTTCATATTAACGTCGAGCTGTTTGAGTTTGATGTTGTTAAATGTGAACTGAACTGTTCACTTCTCAGCCACGTGGGGGCATTATAGTGCAGGGCTTTGGTGTGCATGGCAGTGCCCACCCCTGTAGTTTGAACTGTCTGGCAGTATAGACATAGGTCCAGTTAGCAGTACATCCATACTTTAGGGTCATACTTAATCTAATCCCTTGCTATATAATGCATTTATATTTATGCTGAATTGTTGGTATTTTGATGGCCAAAGTCTACTCAATCAGACTTAATTTCAGGTTCCAAGTGTATAATATCTTCCAATTATCCAAGCTACAATGTATTATTGCTGTCAGTTAGGCTTTTTGTCAATTTATCTTGACTCAGCTGTATGGTTTTGTTTGTGCTTTACTGCAATACAGTAAATATACTGAATTGGGTTGTTAGTTTAACAAGATCTCTGGAGAGCTCTTCCATGATGCTGTGTGTTGAAATATGGTAGGAAACCTAACAGCAATTTGCCACCAAACAAATACCCGATGCATGGGCAAGAGTCCAGAACCTGAAACAAATTGTCCACAGAGTTAATGCAGGATGTGCTTGTGTTTGGATTGTATGTAAAACCAAAGCTTTGACCACTTGTGGTGATTTGTGATACATATTCCTTTTTGGTCAACATTCCGACTGTATAACATCTTCCAGCATTTCAGTTGGATATGCTGTTCTCACTTCCCTTCCTAAACTATTGTGCTGCTCAATGGTTACTTCATTCCACCCAAAGGAAAGAACGTTCCCATGATGAGAGAAATGTTTCTTAGAAATGGGACAAAATCTAGGCCTGGTGTAAGTAGGTTCCACTCATTAAAGTCTGTGACCTTGTATTCATATATATGACCTGCCTCTAAGTCCTTGTGCAAAGTAAAATGCTATAGAAACATGGTGAAAATCTCACATTGACTCTAGGGGAGCCAGGATTTCACCCCAGGGCTTTTTAGTGGATTAACCGTGGGAGATCCCAGCTCTGTTGGAATGTAGGATCACCTTGGCCAGTGTATTTCTCTAAAGATATTTCTAACAAAATGAATACTGCATATAAAAAATTGGCATCCCAATATTTAATTATAAGTCATAGTCAGATATTAATGGGAAGGAAAGGGTGGAGGACACAGAGCTGAATAAATATTGGACTCTGAACACTTTTAAGTTCTCAGGACATGTGCATGTTTCAGTACCTGTGTATCCCCAGACATTTGGTTTAGCTGCAAAATGGCGCATGCTGCATATCAATGTGTTTAGGAATTGACTTGATTCTCTTTTTCCAGGTGGGCCATGCACAGGTACACCTCATGTCTCCTTAACCACGCCAACCAAAAGATCCTGTGACTCTGGTGAGTTTTGCTTTCTGTTTGGCTTTGCATAATACATAGTTGTAAAATGACAAGAAAATGTAGCAAGTATACCAGGAAAATTGCAGTGAAAAATAAACTTTGGAGACGTGCTTGTAAGAGTAACAGTGAAATCATGAAAAATGGAAGGAAGTTATATTTACAATGTTTGTTTGTAATTAACATGACAAAACCAGAGAACAATACAGAAGTAAATCTGTTGCTTTAATCCAATTTAGGTTGGACCTATAACAGTCCCACTTTCAAAGGGGAAAAAAGTTAAAGCAAAGCAGTTGGATGCACCCTTCCTTATTGACTTCAGTCTTTACAGGGGTAAATCTGATTTAGATCAGTTGTTGCAAACTTTTGCATGTTCTTGTCTTAAGCACCAATATTGCAGTACCGATTGCTGAATAGGGTCTATTCCTGAGCAGAGTTAAGGACTCCCTCTCTTTCAGAGATTGGGGCATTCTTTTTCTGCAGGGACTCTTGCAGGAAACATTTCTCAGTTTGTCAATGAGCTAATACACTACACTTTTACTGTTGCCTCTTTTCTTACATGCCCCCTCCCCCCTTTCCAGCCATCAAAGATCAAGATTTTTCTGCCCCATTTAGATGTGAAGGTGCTTCTAAACAAGAAAGTAAGTTTGCCTTTATCTCTGCACAAACTAATCTCAACTGCATATGTTTTTCTTCATACAATATTGCTGTAATATTTAACTAAAATTTAGCTTGTAAGGTGGTTAAATAACATTCTGGATAGATGATCTTGAAAAATGATAGTAAAAAAACATTAGGTGAATTTTTAAAATATGATCATAATTAGCATAATAACAAGTAAGATTACAATTTGTCAGGCCATATGGGAGAAGCGATATTTCCTTAGATTAGATTAAGGCAGATGGAACTATTAGACATGTTTAAAAATTTCCCATTAAACATTAAGATGTTTTCCCCCGGCAGCCTTCTTATTCCCAGTCTGTGCTAGTAAACTAGAGAGGTTTTTGGTTCCTTTATTCTGCTCTCTTTGTCATATGCAATGTTCTTTTGTAAGCTATCAACAAAAACAGAAAGTGAAGCCTGTTTGGGTTACCAGCCTCTTCGTTAGTATTATAGCCAATTAAGTAAAGCTAATTTGTTTTGCATTGTTTGTAGTTTCCTTATTTATAACTTAGTCTTCTGTTCACTGGTCAGGGCCAATGTTATTTAGTTGGAGTCTTTCACTCTTCTGAGGCTGTTCTCCTGGAGTTAAAAGGTCAATCTAAATAAAAATTATAATTACTCCCTCCCCCAACACCAGTATTTTAAATATCACTATTTATGCTTTTCTTACTTTTAGCATTTCACCTGGAGTTGCCAGTTGCCAGTTTCTAGTTCTAGAAGGTCTGGCCTGTAAGCAGTTCCCTTTGGGTACAATTAATTAATAAAATATTGATTTGTTAAAGCACTACTTGTAATATTTTTTTAAATCCGAGTTTTGTCAAAGATTACTTATTTCAAAATTTATATTTCAAGCAAATGTTGCCAGTGGTGCTTTAAGAAAAAATGGCTATGTTTTCTGGGCCAGTGTTTGGGAATTCCAGTAAATATAAATATTTAGTAATAGTGTAGGCTACAAAGAGGTTTACTGTATGAATATAAAGTTCTAAACTGATCTGGGATTTAGGTTAACATAAGGCTACTATAGGTGAACATTTCACATTATACTCAAGATAACCATAGTAACATGTCAACTTATGTGCTCATTCCTAAGAAGTTGGTTAGTTCAGTGGATAACTGTATATACTATACTTTAGATATAATTCTTCCTGTTGTAAGAGCCCTGTATTTCCTCAGGTCTGAGCTTTAAAGGAAGAATGTAGTTTTTCTTAGGTCTGCAGTATCAGCATTCGAGACAAAAAATTAGAATTCTGACCTATTTATGTAATATGCTAGCTCCTGTCAGGAGAATATTAAGGAAGACATAACCCATTCATATTTTATTAGCGTTTAGTGTAACCACTGAAGAAAGATCAAAACAATAAATCTGGGAAGACAAGGAAAAACTGGTTCTTTGTTTTTAAAGCAAAGTTTTTACCTTGAGCACTTGTCAGCCTGGATTCTGGAAAAGCCCTCTGAACAACAACAACAAAAAATCACATTGATGCCAAATACTGGTTTTTTCCCCCTTTTCCAGGATTGATGGTAAAAGTGTGTGTGTGTGTGTGTGTGTGTGTGTGTATTCTAAATTGTGCCCAAAGGACACGGATTATGATGGAAAAGACTGAGAAGTCTTAGAATGACTAGCTGGGGAGAGGTTTTAAAGATTTTGAAGAGCCAGAAGTATGTGAATGGTGTAGAAAAGATGTTAGGTTCTGGTCTGCTGAATGAGTATTTTTGTGTATTTTAATTTGTTTTTTTTATCAGTTACAATTCATGTCGGGATTAATGGTTGGCATTACAGGCAGTCCCCGAGTTACGCGGATCCGACTTACGTCGGATCCGCACTTACGAACGGGGATTTCTCGCCAAGGAGCTCGCAGGCAGCGGGACCGCCCAGAGCGCAGCGGTCCCGCCACCTTGACCTCCGGGGCGAGAAAAGCTGCTCCGGGTGCCCCTGGTCTGCTGGGGACCGTCTCCAGCAGACCAGGGACACCGGAAGCAAAGCCGGGGAGGCGGAGGGGTCCCGCGCCTCTGAGGCTTTGCCAGAGCAAAGCCGGGGAG